GATCTCCAAGGCAACCGCTGTATCACTGCAACTCACGGCATTACGGAGTAACCACCAACCAGCAGGGTCAGCTTTGGAAGCTGGGCATACGCTAAACCTTAAACCAACTTTGCATTGTCTTCCCTAATCATCTATTTCATTTACAGGATAATGTTAAAAGCAAGAAAAGCAAAGATTAGCTTCCTGTCCTAAGAGATGGGACAACCACCAGAGAGTCAGTAGATGTGAACTGTAGTCCACCATCCATATGGCTGCTTCCTCTGTCCCTTAACAACACGACTCCCCACAGGATGGGGAAGAATCTGCCCCTCCCCTCCTCCTCCCTTCAGTATCCCCACCCTCCCACATTAGCACATAAGCTGCAGCCTGGGACCAAGGGGGTTTTGTTTTTTAAACAGTTAAATCTTTCATTGCAGACCAATTAAAATTTAAAGATTTTTTTTCTCTCCCTCCCTCTTCCCCTCTCCCTCCCCCCCCCATATACATACACACACACACACACTCACACACAAAAAACCCATACCCACTCCTCTCTGAGCACAAAGACATGACAACCTGGTGTGTACTATTAGAAACAGGATTGGAAAATTCAAGGCAAGAAAACCTAGCTCCTCGCTCCATTTGCTTTCCCTTCCCCAGAGTTCCCCACTCGAGAGCTTGCTCTGCCTGGCACCCGGGCCTCCCAGGCCGAGGTTCCTGGTGCTGGGAGCTAAGCCGACCCCCTCGGCCTTCTCAGCTGCGGTTCCAGGCACAGAGCGTGGACTTACAGGTGGTGCCGAGACGTGCCCTGGGCCCTTGGTTCCCTGTGCTGCTCCCGTCACACGGCCCTGCCCACCCACCCCCAGCTGCCACCCGAACACCACCAGGTCTCAGCAGTTTGGACATTGTCCTATTCCGTCACCATGACTCACTGACAGTATCAGGGGCTCTCCCTGATCACCAAGGATGAATGGGGGGGACGTCCGGCTGCCCCCTGCACCCCAGCCTCCTCGTACACATACTTTGATTGACAAATGAGAGATGTTAAAATGAGAGTACTCAGAGACTCTGGATGGGTGTGTAAACATGTTTAAATGATATCTGTGCATGCGTTTATACTTGGAAGTGTGTTTTTTGGAGTGTACAGTCTGTGTACATTTGCCTACATGCACAGAAGCCTGTCTGCTTAATGGACTGTATGTGAACTTGCTCTGCTAGAGTTTTAACTATCCTTACACTTCGCAGAGTAGAAAGTTCCTCTCAATAACTTCTTTTGCCAAGATTTACCAGAGTTGAAGGGGGCCCCTTCCCAATGCAGTTATATTTGTACATACACAAGCAAGTGTACACACACACACACACACACACACACACACACACACACACACACACTGTTTGCCTATAGAAATTTGGTTTCCCCTACCTTTCTTGCTGAAATAATCAGAGCCAAGGAAGTCATCTGTGGATGTTAATTTGGACATCAATCTTCCCAGTTAATTTCTCTTTTGCTTTTTGTGCCGTAGGACACCAAAAAATGACCTTCTCACAAAGCAGCCAGCCTGCCCGGAGGTTTGGTCCTGAGCTTCATGAAGCCTGGTCCCTGGAGTAGTGGCAACCTCCTTTTGGTGTTGCCGGGCAGAGAGCAATCATTCTGCCATGATATTGGGTACAGACTCCCAGCTCTACATGGTTCTTGGTGAACTGATGATAACCCTATCCTTCTCCTGGGTCAAGTCCACCCCAGGAAAGATTGAGATTAAAAAGCAAAAGGAGGATCTATTCTTTGTGATGTAAAAAAAGGTCTCTGGCAGGATGTGAGTTAGAGAAAGTGCTGGGTCCCTTGGCGAAGGGGACTTCTAGACTCCAGTGACTCCTGGGCCACTCATCTTCGGGTCACCACATAATCCACGGCCATGGAGCCGAGGCTGGGAGGAGGCCCTAAGACAAGGAGCAATGCACAGAGCACGGGGCCTGATGTCCCTGGCACACGGAGGTGTGTAGCAGCGTAAGAAAGAGGCCGTGATAATAGCCACAGCTGGCATTTAGAAGGATCCAGAGAGATCACAGAGCCCCTGAGTGGGTGGGCCAGAAAGCACACCTGTACACCTGGCGAGGCCCACATTTTCACTGAGAAAGAGGATCCCAACTCATCCACTGACTCCCTTGTGAGTCTGGACAAGCCGCTTGGTCTCTCTGTTTCTCACCATCCCCTTTTGCAAATGGGAAATATTCTTTCCCCTCCTTTGCCTCATAGATAAATTATTCCAATGGCGATAAGAGCAAACATTCACCAGTCCCGTATTACATGCCAGGCTCCCACAGCAAACACCTGAACACATTTTCTCACGTAAGCCCCTCAACCGCCCACCATGAATGCATTTATGTGCTGTCATTATTTGCATTGAACAGATCAGGAAACTGGAGTTGAGAGTTTCAGTGACTTGTGTGAGGTCAGACAGTTGGTGAGTGGTCGAGTCTGGAATTGTGCAAAGGCAGCCTGACCTTTCTGTAGCCAAGGAGGCATTTCAATATGGGCAAAAATCACTGCTCCTTTTAGGAGAAAACAGGAAAGGTTAATTAGGAGAAGGAGATTAGCTTAGAGCACCAAGCAAGTGCAAATGGCCCTTGAAAGGTATTAAACTAGAAGATGGTTTTCCTCCCCTTGAAATATCCATTCTACATCCCTGTACTCCCCTGCACCTTCAGAAACCAACAACCTGCTAATTCACTTTCCAGATTCCATGTAGCTGGGTCTCTGGGTAATCATAACTTGGTTGAGTCAGCAGACAAGCTCTGCAAGTCTCTCGAAAAGATGTCATTAGTTGGAAATGATGCCAAATGTCACATAGGGGAGTCCATTTGCAAACAGTCTCTTCTCTCCTTGCTACAGAACAAACATTCAACATAGCCACAAGCTCCTTTCCAGGTCACCCTTCTGTGCCAGGCTCCCCAGCCCTACCGAGATACCCATGCCAATGAAGAACAAAGCCAGACTAGACCAAGGAGGTCACTGAGAGCAGCCAACTTTCCTGAAAGGTGCTTAGGATCCAGACAGTGACAGCCTTGCAGCCGACTGATGCTACGTCCCAGCATCACACTAAGTAGCTGTTAGCCACCAAAGCAAGTTCAGCGAACATTCACTGAGCACTTACTTTAGGTAAGACATCAGACATGTTAAAGCATGTGCCTGCCCCTCCCAAAATGATTAATGTGGGGCAGGAAAAGACCAGGAAAGAAATACTACAATATATGGTATCAATAGATACATGTTAGATGGACATCATTTTAATTATGGTTGAAATGTATTGAACTATTAATTTGTATTTGTTTTCCATCTATTTTCTCCTTTCCTGTTCTCTTTCCTCAAGCAAGTCGCCAATCAGCTTTGTCTTCACTGCCTCAGGGGCGGTACCCTACGGAACAGAAAGGGGAAGTAGCATGCAAGACTTCCTGGCTGTGACATTCCAAAAGCTGATGGCCACAGTTGAACCAGTGGGGCTTTTAGAGGACGAAGGAGGCAAAAGAGGGTTTGTGGGAAGAAGCCAAGTGAACTGAAGAAAGCCAACCTAGAGAGAGGCTTTCTTCCTGGGGGAAAAGGTAGAGGAAGAGAGAGGAAGGGCAGGGGGAGAGAGAGAGAGGGCGAGAGGTATCAATTGAGACTGAGATGGGTGTTTCGCAAAGAAAACCTAATGTTGTAATTCTTCCCTGAGCAAGACTCCAAAAATAAATGGCTGTGTGATACGTATAGGTAAACACAAGACCCGATGTGATTTGGTAAAAACCTTCTCAGGTTCCCATTGTGACCACAGAGAGGTGACGGCCCTAAGATGCCATATGAACAGGGTTAAGAGGCACCACAGTTAACCTGCTTGGCTGCTGTTTTACTTTGACACTGCACAAGTCCCTAAAACCATGGTCCAGACTGAGGGTGGAACCCAAGCACCTTCTGCCATAGTTCCCTGGTGGCCTGGAGGAATAGGGCTAAGGTTGCCAGGTACAAGCGTCCTGTATTTTTATTTGCTAAATCTCGCAACCCTGGAGAGGGCTTACGATAGAAATTAAGTCGACACAATGATGTGGATAAAAATTCATACCTGAGTTTGTAGAACTGAATTTGTGGACTAAGATTCATCCCCATTAGAAAATAATGCTGTTCATTTTTTAGAGTGCTGTACAGTTCAAGAAGCCCCTTCACATAGACTGTGTCATTTGATTCTCCCTGTACCCTGGTGAGATGAGAAATGTGAGTCTAATTATTTCCAGAAAAAGCAGCAGGGCTCAGGGAAGCTAAGCCCGCTGAGGGCTCTAAGTCCACGCAGGCTGCAGCTGTAACACCTGCTGCGGCATCCCGGCCAGCTCTGCTCCGGGACCCTGAATGCTTCTGAATCCCAGCCTGGCCCAGGCTCCTGCATCCCAGGAATGACATCACTGAGTTCAGTTCCAAAATGCCTCTCATAAGCTTTTGAGAACCCTGGAGTTTTCAGTGTGTCTCACTCCAGATTACCTTCCTCTGGTCTGCAGGAAAGCCAGACCTATGAAAGGATTTCGTTTGGCAAGATGACCACAGTTAAGTCTCCACTGCTTGTGGCTTCTAGGAAAAACTGTAATAGGTCTAGCTACTAATCCTTTGGTTCATCAGCTTCCAGGACAGGCTACGCCCACCTTCAAATAAAAAGACAGCTTGTTTCCTCTGCGGCACAAAGAGGACAGCGCGGACGGTGATTTATGGAGAAGACGGCCAAATGCGGCCAGACTTTCAGGGGTGCCTGGCAGACCCCCGAGACCACCAGGCTGAGGAATGCGCTGTCCAGCACACTCAAGACGGTCATTTGCTGGGGTCAGGGGCCCACTCTGTCAGAGCTCGGGGCTTTGCACATCCTAAAATCTTTACTTATGGACATCAGGTCAAAGGGAAGGGGAAAAACTCAGCGAGTCTTGAAAAGTTACCTGGTGCTATTGTCCGCAAATGGGCTGCAGCTGTTTTTGCCATTATAAAAGCTGGTGCTTTTTTTTTTTAAAAAAAATTTATTAATAGTAAATATCTTGTAGGAAATAAAGAATATAATTTCAGGGAAGCCCCGTGTATACCATTGCTCACTTTGATAAAAGTCTCATTTTTTTCATTCTACATAGGGGACTTCAAAAACAGGGTAATGTTCTTATTTTTGTTTTAACTAAGTGTTGGAAAATAGGGAGCCAGTTTTATTACTTTTTTTTATGCTTTATATCTTGATATGCTATACATATTACTTTCTACTAAATAGTGGATACAAACAATAACTCGTCATTGTTGCTGAAAGCCATCTCTTCTAGATCGTGGAATGAGACAAGGATTTCGACGATTGTCGAGAGGGCTTCATTTTACAATGACTCTGAGGCCAAGTGGCCCGGAGCTGTGGGGACCCTGCAGACCTGTGCCTGGGCATCTCAGTGACTGGCAGCCATGACTTCAGGCATGTCCTCGGCAGGACGCCACCTCCAGGGAGACAGGACCAAGCCGGCGTTGGTGTCAGGACTCTGGCCCCTGAATCCGGGCAGGCGTGTCCTGCTCCGAGCACAGTGCTCACTGTGCCAAGCCTGGCTCACCTCAGCCAGGGCGGCAGGACTCAGCTTCGCGCCAGGACCCCAGGTTCCCTTCTTCCGCCCCAGGCCTGGCAACTTGTAAATGCGGAGGCTCCGCTGAGCGCCGGGATTTCATTAGGGGCCTCGTTAAAATTTACTGGAGTCAAATAAAGAAGAGATCCAGCCTTGGAAATGGTTCTTCTCCGGTGTGTCTCCTTCTCACCTCCGCTCACCCCCTGTCCTCCTGCCACTTACCCGCCCATGAAACCTTTAACAACGGGGCGAATCCTGGAAGGCTGCCCGTATTAAATATCTTTAGAAATCACTTCAGAAAGCGCCTTCAGGAAGGCAGCTCACCTCTTTCGCTCCGTCTTAGGACGGCAGGGCTGGAGCCTGCACACAGGGAAGGCAGGAAGCAAAGGCACGAGGAACACAGACGCTTCCGCCAGACCTGGGCCGAGTCCTGGCCCTGCCTACTAACTGAGGAGCATGGGCAGCTCATTGCCCCCGGGTCTCGGTTTCTGCATCTGTAAAGTGGGGAAAGTACGACTGCCCACTGCAGAAAATGTCAATGGAGTTAAGCCAAATGACGCACGTCAACCGCTTAACCCAGCATCTAGCGCGCAGCAAGTCCCCAAACCAAGGGCAATTACAAGGGAGTCTCTTGCGGGCCCTGCCTGTGTCCCCTTTGTATTGCTCTGTCTTGTGTTTAGCAGAGGTTCTGCCAGACACAAGGGACGAGGGAGGGGAGAAGACCTGTTCTTGCTCCTGGACTTGAGAGTCGTCCCATCCTCCTGTGATGTCATAATTTGCGCAGCAGCCCACACACGCTTGTGAGCTCCAGCCACCCCGGGACAGTCCCCACCTCCCACAGGCTGCTTGTCGCCTGCTCACACCTGGGGCCTCTGCTGCCACCCTGCCACCCCTGAGAGCCCGGCAGGCTCCAGCTCCGTGCTCAGCGCTGACCCAGGGCAGCCGCATTTGCGCAAGGTAAGCACGCCAGGGGCCCAGGACCTGGGACGGGGAAACCCTCTTCTGGGGGAAGCTGAAACTCAGCAAGGTGGGATCCAGGAAGGGACATCTCTTTGGTTTCATAATTAAAACTGAAACCCGACCCTTCTGCTCTGGAAGTCCCTGACCACAGGTGTCACTTTTCAAAGGGCTACCTGGGCGCTTATTAGAGGCAGGCTTGTGCCCGAGATCCGGTTACTCCTCTTTGAGCAGCTGCTGGACCTCTGCCTCTCTCGCCCCTTCTGGGGACGTGACCCAGGCTGAGTAGGTGGCCCAGGGCAGCCGGGGGCCCGGGCAGCTCCTCGGGGAACAAATGTGTTCTGCGAGAGGCTCACTCCTGCTCAGTCAGGTCTCTGCCCACGTGTTCATTCCTCAGAGAGTCCTGCTCTGCCCCCCAAATACACATCACCTTCCTCTCATCTCTTCCTCCCGGTTCCCTTTTCTGTCTTCTCTCGCCACTAGTCCCAAAGCGCCTCACCCGCAGATTGGCGTGCCTGCTTTTGCTCACGGCCTCCAAGGCTGACAGCTCCATGAGGAGAGAGCCTGCCTACCTTGCTCACGCCATAGTCCCTGCCTGTGACAGTCACTGCACTCAGTGGACGAGGAAAGGATAAAAGATCCATAAAATGCCACACGAAAACCGGGAGTCTGGCCCCTCTGCCAGTAGGGCTAGGATTACAGAGATTACAGAGAATGTTCTGTTGAGGAAAGGAGGAAGCAAAGAGTGAAGGAAGAAGGAAGAAAGGGAAGGAGGGAAGACAGTTATGCCTTCAATTTTGGTATCCCAAAACTTTATGACATACGCATGGAGGGAACATAATCTTATGACATGATACAAAAAGGACTGAATCACTCAAGAAGATAATTTTATCTGGTAGTATCCCCTGCCATTATACATTATATATATATATATTCTCATCAAATTGTCTCTCTCTCTTTCTGTCTCTCTTTCTCCAGCTATATTTAGTGAATGTTCTGAGCCAAAATTGGCCAGGGCCTGAATATCTAGGTACATGGAGTAGAAAATCGGTATAAATTTGATGAGAGCCAAGAAATCTAAAGTGCTGGTGGGGCAGAGGATGGTGAGATGGAAGAGGAGAAGGACTAGCAATAGCCAGGGGGTTCCTTGGGCTGAAGACTAAGACAGACTCAAAAATGATAAGTCAAGGTGAATGTCAAGCCAGCTTCCTCCACACAGACCCAGGCATTTTCCTTTGCTCCTTGAGCTGGGAAACAGTGTTTTCTGCACACAGGGCTGAAGGGAAGGAAGAAAAACAGGGCAGAGAAGGTGGGGTAGCCCTTTTTTGCAAGAGCATGAAAAAGCAACCTCAGAAGCCTGCAATGACTTTCAGGTTAAAGAAAAAAAAAATTCCGGGGATGGGGGTGCAGAAAGCAAAACCTGCTCATTGATAAGGGCTACTCATTCACATTAAATGTATTACAAACCAACAAACTGAACAAAAACAAAGTAACATCCTCTGTGAGTTGATATATTTGGCCCAGACTGGCTTTTCTGCCAAAACAGAGCAGCTCTGGGCCATCCCCTCGTCAAGGTAACCATCCTCCGCAACTGCCTCCCTCCCGCCCCTAGGGGGCTGTTTTTATGCTCAGGACACAGAGGGCAGGTTCAGAGCTGTTTTCCAGACCCTGCACCCAGCAGGGGAGCTCCTGCAGGTGTGTGCTAATGGCTGCAGCTACCTCAGTATAGGGACACTGAAATTTAGAGTTGCAGGAGCCAGTCGGCACCGGGGTTCCAAAAACCGCAGTTCAGCAACACGTATGCATTCACGCATGGACAGGCTGGAGAAAAGTCCCTGCTGCTATTGTCCAAAAGTGACACATAATCCATAGCTGTGTAACTTCGTGCAATTAACCTTTCCGAACTTTCTAACCTTATTGATAAAATTAAGACATTGAAATAGATACTCTGTAAGAATCTCCCAGTTTAAAAATCCATTTCTTCTATGAAAAACATTACTGTCTCCCTGCCCTCCTTGCTGTTCCGATCTCTCCCTTTCTTCTTTCCTCTGTCCTTGCCACGTCTCCTTCATCGGCCTCACAAGGGCCGGTTAGCCCCAGCAACAGACCAGGCAAGCCAGCAAATGAGGAACTGTTTTCACAAGGTTTGGAGTAGCTGGTATTCCACCTAGTGCTTAGGCTGTAAGACCAATCCCCAAGTCTCCTGTTGAGTGCCGAATAAGAAAAACCAGGCAGTCAGCAAGCAAAAGCTCTCCCGGGCCAGTCTTGGGGACACAGAGCAATAAACATGGGCCCCGCCCCGAGAAGTTTGGTCTAATACAGAAATGCACATGCGCACAAAGAAATGCAACATTTCTGCTGAAGAAATCAAGCTGGCACTAATGGGTGTAATGGCTAGCAACTAAGGCATCATGCCGATCAATGGGGAAGTGAATTTTATGGATCAAGAAAGCCTTTCTAGGAGAGGGGATGTAAAATGCAAGTTTAGCAAAACTGGTAATACCATCATTCTTTATTAAGCACATCCATCCCTATAAATTGGGAAATCAGTCCACTGGGGACAGACCCATCCATTAAGCATCTATAATCCATGTAATTGTCACTGATTGAGCGCTGGATGCTATGAACTGTGCTGAGCTCCTCATATACCTATCTCATTTAATTATCACGATTAAGGAGGGCATCGATGTTAGCACAGTGTTTGGGGCCTGTTAGTTATCACACGGAGTCTGCCCTTCTCTGCAAACTCAGAAGGCTGCAATGACTTTTAGGATACAGAAAAAGAATTTCCGGGGATGGGGGTGCAAAAAGCAAAACCTGCACCTCAGCTTTCTCATCTGTGAAATGGGACAAATAATATAGTATATACCTCACGGGCTTGGTGTGATTTTTCAATTAAAAAATTATGAAAAGCACTTAACACAATGCACAATGTTAGGGACATAGTTAATGCTCCATAATTGTTTTTATTGTTGTTTGCATCATTTTCCCACCTATGGCTACTTGAATGCCTAGACAGCCTAAGTGGCTGGTCCAAGGTCGCACACAGCTAGAGTGGGTTTGAATCCAGCTCTGCCAGGCTCTACCTGGCCAGACTGTCCCCTGTCATGTAAATGATCACTGCAGAACTCAAGTTTCCTTGCTGGCAAGTTCTTTAGATATTTAAGTGAACTCAGGACTTTCCGGGTGACTTGTCCTGCATTCCATCTTTAGAAGTGATTGTGGGTCTGCAGTTCACATCGTTTGCCTGGAAAGGGGTCAGGTAAACATGTGGCACAGACAGGCCTTAATCAGCGTCAGAGATGGCTATGGTCTTTACTTTGAGGAGGTAGCTCGGGCTGCCTCCTGTATTATTATCTGTGATCCCAGGAACTTGACCTCCCCACCCAGTCCCCATTTGGGACATTCCCTTCCTCCCCTTCCCTAAGGACCCCGATCACCGTGGACACTGGGGAGGCCAGGAAGCACAATGGCATGAGTTGGCGCAAGAAATGCCCAGACCTGGAAACGCTGGCTGCTGTCACCAAAGGAAAGGCAAGGCGCCACTTTGGCAGCGTGGGGAACATTCAAAACACCTAGCGCCGGGCCTTGCTGGCGGCAGGGTTGGAGGGAGGACAAACTGCACCATCTGCAGCCAGGTCCCCACTGTCACCCGATGCTTCCCATGAGCCTCTGCACAGCAACAGGCCGGGGGGGTGGGTGCAAATCTCCTATAGAAATGGATGACCTCCCAAACCTCCCAGCAGCAACTCTAGAAAAGGTGTTGGAAATGGCATGAACAAGCAGTCCTGGGAGGAAGCTTGTCTATCAGTTTGTCAATAAAGTAATTTTGCCTATAAGGAAAAAAAAAAAAAGCCTAAGGAATAGCTTAGTGTGTTCGGGCATGTCTTGAGTTCTTTTATTTGGCTCACGTGCTTTTGTGAGGAGGCATCTGAGACGTGATTTGGAGCCACTGAGATTCCAAGAAAGGAAAACCGGGCTTACGCAGGAGGAAATTTCTAGATGGACAAAGAAAGTCCTTTGTGAACACAGGCTGGTGAGATTGCGAGATCCCACCGCTGATGAGCTTACGGTTCTACCCATAAATCTTCCAGAAGCAATTCTAAAACAAAACAAAGCTGCGTCCCACTGCCCAGGATCCTGTGTGCTTGCTTCCTGTTTATTATAGGACTTGTTCCAGGGCTCCCTCCCTCATTGACCCTGTCTGCATCACAACCACCTGAAGAGCTTATGTAAATGCGAGTTCTCAGGCCCCGCCCCCCAGACGACTGAGTCAGACTCCATGGGGGGAGGGGCTGCCCCATACCCCACATTTTTAACAAGCTCCCAAGTGGTCCTTACCCATGCTGAAGTTGCTGAACAGTCCCCCTGCTGCATAAGGAAACGCACCAAAGCTTGCGCAACCCCTCCCAGCTTGAATTTTCTAAATGTAAACATTTTACCAAACTCATGTGGCAAGAGCACTAAAATAACAATAAAAGCTTCCTTTTCCAGCAAGGTGAGTGGCTCTGCTGCCAGGGCACCAACCTGAGCCCGGGGTACTGCCAGGCTGCTCAGTCAAAGAGGGTTTGGCTGTGGCGATTCACTTTCACAGACAGACGGACAGGAGGAGGCTGCCAGACCTCATTGCAGAGGGAAATGTGCAGGGCTATTCAGTTGCAAATTTCCACGCCCAGAAATCAGACCTGAGCACGGGACTCCTAGTCTCCACCAGAAAAGGAAACCTTAGAGTCATTTATATATTTTTTTCCTCTCTCTTATCTCTGAGTTGGGTGGTGAACTGTGGAAACACGCTTATTGATTTGCTCTTCACTCTTCAATGCCTTGTGATCTTCTCGCGAAGGGAATTTAAAATATCCCCATCAATTTCTATGGTAGGTGATTGGCCATTTCTGGAGGAAAACCAGGGGCTTGGTGGCAGCTTGCTTTTTCCTTCTGTTTTCACTGCATCTTTGGAACACGAACACGCAGGCTGACACACGGGACTCGTTTACCTAGGC